CTGGCGGGGTTTGGTGTATTCATGCGCTGCGGCGGGTGAATGTTTTATGACAATCAGCTGTTAGAGGCTATTGCACGTTCAGCTGTTCTGCTGCAACCAGCTGATTATTTAAAAAACGTTGAAACTAAAAAAAATGGGATAATAACAATGTACTAATCAACTTGAAGTTTATCAGCTGATTATGTCTAATAAATGTAATGTTAGAAATCCCTAAATATTACGTAATTATATGTAATAGGGTTGGAAATAGTCATGTTACTCTAAGTTTAGAATATTTATATATCATAACATAGGGTGTCTTATGCAATTAATTCTTCTACAAATTATTTGACGTTTAAGAAATAAATTAAATCTATAAACCTTGGATGAGTAAGGAATTAATTATTTATTTAAATCAATGTGCGTCAGTAAAATTAAATCAACCAGCTTTAGTTTATGAATATATAACAAATGAGATAATTGACACGACATTTTAACAACCCCTACCAGAACTAATTTAGTAACAAAATTGTCTTAACTAAATCAAAGTTGAAAAAATTATTACTGTATATTCTAAACGTCATCACGTAAATCTATGGTAAGTTTTGAATAAAATTACGCAGACAATTTACAAAGTATACCCAGACTATACATTGGCTACAACTGCACAATGAAAATTGGTGCGAACGTTGTTATCTTTTTTTAATTTTATACGTCATTACGTCATAAAAAAAAACTAAAAACAGCTTACCAATATATATAGTGGTGAGAAATTTAAAGTTATTACAATATGACCAGAACATATTTTCATCACAACAACATTCCGTCTCACAGCTATATCAAAATTAGTGTGACTCGGATTCTTAAGTCTAAATTTGTATATGAAAACTCCGACGTATAAAAATCCATAGATGATTATAATGAACATAACAGCTTGTAAGCACGTTTGATATTTTTCTTCCGGGATTGCACAAATGACTTAAACCACAACGGGATTTCTCACGCATAAAACTCATCAGTGTGCGTCGTCTGCTTCAAAGATAATCAGCTGTTGCATCAAAGGAAACATTGTCGTTGGAGATGATACCACCCAATATTATAATGGGTCATGAAAATCTCCGAAACCTAAAATCTTTTGTTATTCATAGTACTTTTTTTACAATAAAACGCTCATTTTAGACGAAAAACTACTCAGTTCGCTTCGTAGTCATATGGAGATATGAATCTTGTTTTCAATAGGAATTCGTAATCATCAGGAAAATATTAGATTTGGTACAACAAAATGTCATCGGTGATAAAATAATATGACCAAAATGAAGACAATTCGTACTAAAATCTGAACTGCAAGCATTTAACTTAAACTTATCTCAAAAGTGATTATTTTTGTTATTTAGAAAGTGAGGTAAATAAAACCCTTCGTTATTTGTGTATTTTCACACCATTGGCATTTTTATTTATTTTTTCCCTTGATTCCTGGTTTCGTTACTATATAATAAAATCCACCTTTTAATATGTAGCTTTGGTCAATCGATAAACCATCGAAAAAGAAAAACATTTATGTTATAAAGTCGGTGACGTTATCATCAGAGGCTATAATTTATTTCAGAAAAAAAATACCGGTACTTAATTTGTAAAAGGTCCATTTACTCTTCAACAACAATTTCGCCACTTCACATTTTTGAGAGGCATTACCTTCCGATAGCGAATAGGCCTACTTAAGTTACTGAGCTTGCAAAACATTTTCAAGTTTATATTTCAACCAATCCTCTTAAACACTTCACTTCCCAATCTGAAAGGTTTCGAGAAATTATCTTTTTTATCCAAAATATTCTTTAAACCTTTATTTCAATATGCTATGACATGCATGAACTACTTTTCGAATATGTATCTAATTATTACTTACATTTTTTAATTCCAGCTAGTTAAGCCCACAAGACGCAATAACTCTTAATAGTAAAATTTATCATTTACATAAAGATTACATCCTTATTATTTACATATCAGAACCCGTTGTTTTCAATCATTTATCAAATACGCCATTTGCCATTCTCTCCACATAGTAGAGTCACATGATCATATAATCAGCTGATTACGCCATCAGCTGTTTTAATTGTTGAAACAGGTGACTGGCGACAGTGACTAGCCCGGCACATAGGTAGAGCCTGGCTGATATGGCGCCTGTGCAATGTTGGTTCAAGGTTTATAGCCCATTTCATAAACCCCACAAGCACACACCCACTGACAACAGCTGGTATACCCACTCATATGAGGTAATGTGTTAAATCAAAACAATCGTTTGAACATGGATTTGTTGAATTGTAATAAAACTTCTGTATTTATTTTTGATGTTGTGATTGTTATTGTCTATGTGTTTATTCCCAATTGGGGGCTTGGGTCCAGACTACAGGAAAGGTACAGATTTGATTCAAGTAGAATTTTGAAGGAAGCCTTCGGACGAAAAGGTTAATTCAGGGTTAGCCTATTTAGTAGTCACAGAATAAATATCATCTAATAATGGTTGTAGCTGTTTCGCTCGAGTTGCTCAAGGGATATAAGCTCAATTAGCAGATTACTTACACTTAATTACATACATTTAGTAAATTGCATACATTTAATTAACCTACGAACAATCTTTTCTAGATGGAAAAAACTATCTTTTCGTGGATAGATGGATTTATTTAATCATTAAACATCATACAATATGCAATAGATAATGACTTATAATAAATGCAATATATAATGTCAATAATTAGTAAAGCATGTTAAGAAATCAAATACATGGGCCTACATGCAATCAAGCTACAGCAATAAAAGGCGTTTCTATAAAATAAAAGGAGTAAAAGGAGCTTTCTGTTTTTGTTGGTTTTGAAAATAAATAATATTATAAATTAAAATAAAACCAGATAGATTAGTATAATTGGATCCAAAATAGCTTTTGTATAAATATCAGACTAGGTATCCGATTCAATTTCTGTGGACACGTTCTATACAATTTCAATTGTTTTAAAATCTCGAAAAATTGAAGATCGTAAATATAATTTGAATCAAAGCCCCCAAGAAATATGAAATACCCCCTATTTCTGCTAACGAAATGTAAATCCGTTCAGAAGCTCTGAATGTCTGAATGACAAACTGATTGGTCAAAGAGGTCCACAGGAGGTTTAGAGAGGATAAAAAAGATAAAAACTGGGTCATGTGTGACTCGTGGGCAGACACGCCCCCAAACTGTGATAATCTAGTTGGGACTGTAGTAGTGGACAGTGGTGGTTAAATGATACAAAGTCAACTATATGGGAAACACCGTTCCAAGACTAGTTTGTATGTTCATTGGTTAAGGGGTAATAGCTTTGGGCTCGACGTAAAACCTTTTTTTTAATACCACATAGATTCTCTGTAGAAATCTCAATAAGGTTCAAATCTTTATTTACTTTATACCACTTCCCGGACAATAATCTTACAGTGAAAAATCTGTGTAAAGCAAATTGAGATTGTTTACCTATATCTTTTTATTGAGTATAAAATATAAGAAAACACCATTAAACGTTCTGGACTTTAATCTGATAGAAAGAAATTGATTTTGTATTGTTCTGAATTATTTTACAGTAATTACATGATTGTTTAGTGTTCTTCAAAGTCGTGCTCTCGTATGTCATAATGAAAAGTAAAAAGTCATAACTTTCTAAGATTCCAAGTCACTGCCCCTCGATTAAATACAAATTCGATGTGTACCTCCGATTTCGGTAATAGTGAAGTTGAATTTTTATTCCTGTGACTAGTTATAAAATAAATTCATTATATATAAATAAGTTTTTTATATTGTGTTTACATGCAGTTTTAGATCCGTTTCATGTGATACGATATTTTTTTCAATTATCACAGGTTTTCATTTTAGAACGTAATTGTACACTACAGTTTTACCCATGAATAGACAATATACATTGTTTACTTTAAACATTAAAGAAACCCTAAAAAACCTTTGAACTAGAACCAGATATTTTTTTCGTTTTATTGAACCATCTATTTGTAACACATGGTGGTTTTTAACATACAACGAATTCATAATTTATGGATTAATTATGTGATGTATGTGATCCCCTGATGAGAAAAAGCTAGGAACCAATACTACAATTTTTAAATGTATAGAAAACTAGAAAAAGCCACTTTGCAGAAGTGAGAAATTATTGATATTGAATTGTTTTAATAATTACTAAGGAAATAGAGATTCTGTAATATAATTTTAAGAAATTAAGCTATCCATATATTCATAGATGGATTGCAAGATTTAATCGTGTTGTGACTGCGACCACCTAATAATAGTAAACAATAATAATAAACGAGGAAATAAATAAGCCATTTATATAAAGAAATCAGTAGATATAAATAAATGGATGGTTTTTAATATACTAACTAATTAGATACACGGTTTACAATGTTAATGGAGATGAAGCTATGAGTGAGTAGTAATCAATACTGTTGAGTTGTTTACAACATTGACAAAAAACATAGTTGTTTGAAACTTAAAACATTGGCAATCGATATCTTTATTCATTTAGAGTATTTACGTGTTTCGGTATCATCAGTTTGAACAGTAAAGGATAAATTAATTTTTTAAATCAAAATTAATAATTTCATACTCTTACAAATGATGTCTGAAATTACGTCCAAGATATAACGTATATCTAAGTATATAAAATTCAAGACCTAAATTTATTGATGTAGATAATTTAAGATTAATTACAATTATAGCATTAAACTTAATATTAAAAAATCACATTTTTGCGATTGTTGCGTTAAAGATTTGAATTGTAGTATATTGTTACAATCTTAATTCACTCTAAAAAATTGAAAGAAATCCCTTAAACAAAATAACAATATTACCATACCTCATGAAAATTGTGAAATTTTGTTCTTAATGACAGTTGCCTAAAAATAGCAACCTGCACATTTGCTTACGTTTATATCCCAAAGAAAACTTAGGAAACAACAAAATATATTATTAAGAAAAATAAAACTCCACTCACCTTTTCACGCTTATCCAGCCGACACCATACACACTATGTAGTGTAGAGTCTGCAGCCAGACTGGTTGGTTATTGTTAGTGTTTGGTTGGTAGTTCTGTCAGCTGCCACCAGTGTTGACCTAGTTCTTGCCCTCCCCGCCTCCGCGCCACCATCGATCGATCAGCTGACGACTACGACACCCAGTGTTGCCATACTGCCGGCACGATATTGACCCATATCTCCTGTTGCCAAACAATCCATCTCCCTTTCTCCCTGGATCATCTGATGACAGATTTGCTAATCTGGTAATAATTTTAACATTTTCTGCGCGGATTTGTGTGTGGTTTTGTAGTTGTGTCGAAAAAGACTGACACGATGTTTATGCGTTTACTATAGGTTAAGATTACACACAAACCTATGGTAGTGTCAGTGTGTTTATAGTGCAGTAACACTAGTTTTAACCAATTTGATTTTTTCTTTCACACCGATTCTTTTTTACAAAAAAAACGATCATATTGCAAAGGCAGATTTTTCTGGTGCATTATTTAATGGTCTCCGGAATTTCATCCCCCTGGGATTTTACACCATGGGCAAAGCTGACGTCACTATGACGTAGTAACCTGAGCTCTCTAAAGTTTGTTCGCGGGCGGAATTTTACCGCTGCGGATTTGGGAGTCTAGTGAAAATAGACAGAGAGTGATAAATTAGATTAGCAATAAAACCGGAATTATAACTAGCGTTTATTCAACCTGTGGATGTACGGCACGGATTTTTACCCCCGGGATTTTACCCCCCCCCCCCCAGGATTTTTACCCCGGCATTTTACCCCCTGTGTAGATATAGAAATTAGTAAGATTAATTAATTTTCTGATTTCAGTTTTGATTGAATAGTAAACATTTTATTATTAATTAGCCTATCTTAATTTATTTGCCATCTCAAGTAAGTTAACAGGTTTCGCTGTTTAATTTTAACACCTATTCGAGTTTCGGGATTCGACTTTTGTCGCAGAAAACATACTACAGTAGTATGTTTTCTGTGCTTTTGTGGCCAACTGTTAGTTGATATATATGTAAAGAAACTGAGTAGTCCATTTGAATTATAATTGGGTGAACGATTTATTATACGACCATGGAAAAAACAATTTATTTCGAAGACATTTAATTATTCTTACTAATTTCTATATATGGCCAGGAGGTAAAAATCCGGGGGGTAAAATTCCGGGGGGTAAAATTCCGGGGGTAAAAATCCTGGCCGTATATTTTTAGCTGACCTCATGAAGGGGGTAAAATCCCGGCCCGTACACTCCAGGTTTTATAATTTAATGTGTTCTGATTAAATTCACAACCGTGAACATAGAAAATATACGTTTAATTCCACCTTCAATTTATTGAACTGATGTTGTGCAACTCAAAGGTTTGCGGCTGGAATCTTACCCCCTGGTTTGTGACGTCAGTTTTGCGGTTTTGCTCAGGGGTGAAAATTCCAGGGGGTGAAAATTCCGCTACCCCTTATTAAATCACGTAAAGTGTCCTTAAGTTTCAAGGACGATAAAGAAATCAGTATTCGTTTTCACTCATAAAAATACTGCATTTATTTAAAACTTTGCCCAAAAACTCCTCCTAAAATGGTTAGATCAAATCAGCCTAATAAACGAAGTTGTTCAACTCGCTTTAAGAAAATCCCCATTAACTATAAACCATAAATCTGCGGCAATGGCTATAAGGAATTCTCTAAAAGTTGAACTATATTGTGTACAGTATGCTATACCAGACATTAGTTTTCTAAAATGAAGAAAATGGTTAAACACATTGTGTAGATGAATACAGTATTTTATTAAGCACTTATAAATAATACATATATCATAGCAAGGATTATACTGCAAAAATATTATTTTGTCTTCATTTATTATATTACAATGTACAATTCTTATACTTAAATAAATCAACAGACAACTGTAAGGCATATTACAGATTGTATTTCTCACAGATAGATTTGAGGAACGGAACATGTATTGTGTAGACTTGGTATTTTCTTCAACTTGAAAAATACATCAATTAAACGATACACGCTTTAAACCAAAACACGTAAGCGCTACATAATTTGTTCAAATGGCAAATAAATATAAAATTGATTTCCAATTGTCCACAACACGGCTAGAAATCTAAACCTTTTACTAAATTTAGTCAACATTGTAGAGCATTTGTGTAAATTATATAAAATTGCAACGGTGTAAACTCATATAAAACATTGTTTCTTGTTCTCACCTACCAACGTGTTCGCTCCTCAAAAATATTTATATTTAGACATAAATCCTTAAGCATCTAAATTGTATGTCACTTTATACACAAACATATTCTACATCCGCATTACAATGTGTAAACGGGTATTTTCTATATCGAACATTTGTTCAAGGATAGCCAAGTAGTCTCCTAATTTTTCTCAAATTCATTAAACTATAATTTCCAAGCTAAATCATCATACGTACACACATTTTACCAATTTCATAAAACTTCAGCGTTGGTCGAAATAGGGTTAAACCATAGGCAGGGATTTTAGGTTAGGAAAACATCACGGAGATAAGATAATGCTATCAGTTGGCTGTGAAATACGCACCTACGTCACACCACTGCCTACTACATAATTTACACACACGCACTTCCTGTTACTACTGCCTCCTAGATGTTGTATTTGGCATCGGTGTTGAACCTGTGAAAATGTCACATCTGAAGACGTTATTCAGGTTAACCGTGCTTCTTATTTGCAGGAATATTAAATAATGATTTTTAACTGAGAATTACATTGTCTGAAAATAAAAAAGGAATCACGTATAAAATGTCCATCCACAACCGGGGAAAACTCAAAACTACAGAGAATTTGCTGCTTTATGATTTGTATCCATCATGTATTTACATTGTTGTGACTGAAGTTAACGTCGGAGGTCAATAAGCCAAAATTAAAAAAATTTGCAAGCAGAACTACTTGTTTATTAAATCTAAAATTGAAAACGGAATATCTATTGTTTTTTAATAAAGGATAAGTCGGTGACCTTTGCCGTTATCAAAAAACAAGGGATTTTATGTAAAGGTCTTGAGAGCGTTTCTACAAGATCAATATTAATACTACACCACTTAACTAATAAGAACTATGAATATCAAACACTTAAGAAATTATGATTGCTAAAACATTCCTTGATTACTTTCTTCTTCACCAAGACCAGCTATGTCGGATAGGCTGTGTCGTTTAGAATTAAATAACATAAAAAATACTCACTGAAACCTTTTTATCTTAATATTTACATATTATGTACATTTACTTATGGTGGTGGATCTAACCTCACTTTAATTTAGTCTTTCGAAAATCTCGTCCAGGCTATAGAGTGACTTTTTAACTAGCCATGTCTTCAAGGCAGTGTTAAATTTCCTTGTTCCAGGTTTTTTTTTATGTCTTGGAGCAAATTGTTATAAATCTTAAGCGCTATGGTCGGGAAAGCATTTTTGGTCTTGGAAAGCCTGATTATGTCTTGGTCGGGAAATTGTGGATGTTGTTTTTGACGTGCACAACAATATCAGAATAAAGTGGCTATGGACTGTTAAAATTTTAGTTACGATGAAAAGAGGCTTGCAGTGGTCCAATCGTTTACTAAAGGTTACTACCCTAATAGCTTTATTTTGCTGTAGTTACACATTCAGCAATGACTGAGTTTTTGTGAGTGGAGCTTGCAAGATCAGTGTGATATTGTTACCTCAAGATTTAACTAAAATTACAGACTAGGGGAACATACTGACACGAAACGAATTGTTATTTTTGACATCATTAGATGTGGGATTGCCCCTGAACTGGTTAGGAACTAATATAGTTAATGCCTTTAGTCTCCAGTTTAAAATAAGTCAATTTCAGCGACCTAGGTTTCAGCACGAAGTTTTGCTGTCATAAAAACTCGTGCCGTTCCAGTTGAAAAAGCTCAGTCCATTGGACGTAGTTTGGTTTTTAAAGAAACCCTAAAATTACGTTTTTGTAATAGAATGAGTGGTTCTTTCATTTAGACTTGGTTAAAAAGTCCGCACATTCGACAAAAATCAGTAATTTTAATCAGCGCAATCTGTCTATGGCTCACTTCAACTTCGACGATTTTTATATAAAAACTGGAGACAACTATAAAATGGGGATGGAATATCTAGCTCTATCAATAGATAAAAGATAAGTCGCGATTGTTACTCGTTGATTAATAAAGTGAGTATTTGTTTATTTTCTTTCTAGTTTGGATCTATTTGTTTATACTCTGAAGAATCACCCACTACACTTTGACTATGAGAAACTGAACGTTCTGTCCTCTTAGGTCGACAAACCCTTACCCACTTGATGGTTGTTTACCATTTCAGGAGAAGTGGACCAAACCTCGGTACAAGTGTGTGAGTGCGCGTGCGTTAATCATAGTTTACGTCAATATGGACCATTGTTGCGCCATCGACACCCCCTGCCCCTCAGCTGCTTCACCCGTCAAATGGTAAATCAATTTCGGAATTATTTGTTAAAATGCATACTTAGAAATTTGTTTACTTAAAAAATAATTTTATTACAGGAACGTGGACTATACATTTTCTCTTGTTTATAGTTTTAACTTAGTCCATAGTGTTGTTGAGTGTCTTAGAAGTGATGGTGGTTGTAGCTAGGATCAATTATGTTTTTTTTATTTCATTCTCTTCCCACGTACTATACCGTTGCACTTACAACGTAACTAAAGATATGACGAGCATCACCAATAATAAATAATAAAAAAGTAATAATTTATAAGTCACCACGGGGAAACTACTTAACGATAAAGTACTAAGAGGGGGTGCCGTGTTAGATTGTTAAACCAAGAACTGTTTTATAGGATAAACCGGGAGAGTTTTGCTGTTTTGTGATTTATATTTTATTCATACGATTCGACACCACCCACCCACATATGATAAGCTCGTTAAAACTTAAACTCGTACTTTGAGTGACACTAACTTTCTCAAATTTGCTGGTAATTCAAGTAACACACTTACCAAAATGTGGTATTACAATTCATATAAGTACTACAACATTAATACCCACACCTATATAATTTTTTCACCACAATAAGATGTGTTTAGCTGTTTTACATACGTCAATTGGTGGCTGAAGGTTACGTTTTGCTGGCC